CCATTCTCCAATTTTGGACCCATTGGGACTCCTGATAACAGGGAGAGGAGGACTGCAGATCGGTGGAAAACTGATAAGCCAGGTGAGATCCGGGTTTCACCGTACCCCCCCTGGAGCCTGACATTTGGCAGTGATAGGACGATAGATAGAAGGATGATGAGTCCTTCTCTTGTCTTTTCATTTTTCAGCCATGGGCGGATTTGGCATCGATTATCTCTCAGCAACGTCAAACTCTGAGAGCAGTTGGCACCAGGCCAACACTCCAAGTGGCCCCTGGACAGGCCATGGCCCCCCCATGGAGGACTCCTCTGCTGTCCTCATGGAAAGCCTAAAGGTAAGTGGGTTTTAGAGACAAGAACCACAGGCCCATGGTAGCAGAGGTGCCTGTGCTTTCATGCACATGAGCAGGCAGCTTATTTCTCAGGCTCTGAGACGGATGCACAGCTCACACGGGTAGCCAAGTCCTGGAGAAACGGTCTGCCTTCTGGAATAGGATTTTTTTTTTCCAGTTTGCTGTAGGACACATGCACTCACCAGAGAGAGACACAGAAAGGGAAAGTGAAATGTCCCCCCTCCCCCAGGGTGGACAGCCACGTTGCAGTCCTTTCTCCATTCTCCTCTTGGGACTTTGGGCGCGCACACACACACACACACACACACACACACACACACCCATCATGATTTTGAAGCTGCTGGGTTCGGGCCGCGAAATGCACAGTCGGCTATGTGGGATCCAGCCACATTAACTTCCATGCCATTTGCTGGCCCCAGGGATTTTATTTTTATTTTAGTCTGTGAATTTAGTAGTGATAAGGCAGTATCTTTAGGGAAACAGAAACATAAAAGTACTAGTTTTACTCTAAAGCTAAGAAAGTCAATTCATCTTGTAACATTTGAGTTAAGCCTTTTCTGACCAAGTGAAAGAAAAATATCCAATTTTAGAAATGTTTTGTCTGCCTAAAACATTTATAGAAATAGTCTGGTGCTACATGGAGCTAAGTTTTAGTAAAAAGACTTTATATGCAATGTAATTTGATTTTGTCTGGTTTAAAATAATAGAAACTAACGAGTTTTAAAAGACTGATAATGATGACTTTTGCTTATAGCTAGATGTCTTTTGGGGGATGGAGTGGGATAAGGTTCTTGGAATGTGTATGTATGCCTTTGTATTTGGCTGGGATTGAAAACTGAACCCCTTTCCAGGCCTTTGGCCTCTGCTGACAAGCTCTGGACTGTCTTTCAGTCTATCTGGTCCAGTTCCATGATGCATCCTGGACCTTCCGCCCTGGAGCAGCTGTTAATGCAGCAGAAGCAGAAACAGCAACGGGGACAAGGCGCCATGAACCCTCCACACTGAGGCCAGAGTGGCAGCCCTGGGAATGAAGGCTCCATACACCATGGCATGTTGGGTTTGCAGGACTGGCCCACACAGTCCCCTGCGGGTGGCAGCCCTCTTTTCTGTTTCTCGCTGTCAAGAGGGTGTAAGTGTTCCACCAGCCCGCTGAGTGTGCACGAAATGTTCGCAGTGCAGCAAAAAGGAAAATCCATCAGGAACTCTCCATCCCCCGGGGTGTTCCGGAGGGAGAGAGGAACTGCTGTTTGTGTCACTCAGTTACCTGATATCACCGCCTCTCACCTTCTCCATCGTGCATGTCCCCAGCCACATGGGCAGTGAAAGCTGAGAAGGGAAGGCAGATGGGAGAAGCCAATGGGAACTTCTCAGTCCTTTTTTCCTCTTTGGGGAATAAAATAGGAATCCATTAATGATTGCTTTGCTGACTGAGAATGTAGTTGAAATTATTCCTAAACATCTTTTATTATTGTTATTACTCTCAGTAGTAAAATATCACACTGAATTCTTCCCCACACAGGTGTGCTTCTAGTCAGTGTGTAGCCAGGACACCCCGTTCAGTGCTCCTATGAGAGGTTGGTGGTGACAGGAAGGGGAGCCGCCTCTTGAGCCAGTGGAAGTGTCCATAGGGGGAGTACAAGGCCTCTCAGAAGGTTCTGGTAGGCCCACCTCTGGCCTGGAGACTCAGCAGGAGATGCCCTTCACTCTGTAGGTGCTCGAGCCCCAGTCGAGGATGCAGTGTGGGCGGTGGTGCTGGGCTGGACTAGCAGTGACTGCCGTAGGAGCTCAGATGAACGTTTTCGATTCTGTACATTTTACAGTAGTATAGCACGCAGTCTCACACAGAGGGCAGGCTGTTCCACTCATGGCCTGACACATTTTAATAGATAGAAGCTTTCAGTGTGGTTCTTTTTGCTTGGTTGGTTTTGTGCCCCCATCCCACTTACCACCTCCTGCCTGTCTCCATCCCATTTCCCCTGTGCTGTACGCTAGTAATTGTTTTTATTCCTAACGTGTACAACATCTCGCCAAGAAGCAACAGCACAGGGCGCAGTCATTGGGGCCCACAAGACAGTCTGAAGAGGAAGGAGGCAGCGGTGTCTGCATGGCCCACAGAGAGGCCAGACCCCTGCCCAGCCGCCGACTCCCGGCCTCCACTTTCAGAGAGAAATCCACGGCAACACGGACATGTGCACATCGGTGCAGAAGGAAACACAGCGAAGGCCGCTTGGGAAAAGGCAGAAGAAAGGAAAATAAACTTTATTTGATATTTATTAGGAGGAAAGAGGACTGAAGATGTTCTTGTGTAGAGACAAAAGGACATTTCTGTTCGTCATTTCCAGGGAGAGTAATATTTTAAGGGGAAATTATGGAAACAATCTAAATGTCCAATCGCTGTGCTAGTGGTAGGGTTTATTTTCTGGGAAGTCTCTCGTGAGTGTGTGTGTGTGTGTGTGTGTGTGTGTGTGCGTGTGCGCGCGCGGGCCAGGCCCACCTGTCCTCCCAGAGGGGAAGGGCCGAGCCGTGTGTCTGAGTGGACGGAGTTGTGCAGAACTCGAGAGCTGGAGAACAGCCACAGAGCAAAGCACATCCCGGAGCCCCGGTCGTCACTCAGTCTGGGCAGCCCGGCCACCTAGAGGGGCAAGAGGACGCTCGCTGCCCTTCAGAGTGGTTGGAGCCCTGTATGCTTACATTTTTGCTCTTTTAGTTTGACATGGAGTTTGGGTTTTTAGTTTTTGTTTTGTTTTTTTTTTTTTTTTTGAAAGGTCTGAAAGACTGAAACCCCCCACCCGATGGCAATATGAGACCCTCCGTGCTTCTCTCCAGCCCCTTCCCTGTGTCCACCTTTCTCCTGCCCGCCCTTCTCCCTCCCGAGCTTCTTCCCCCACGACCTTTCCCAGTTGGTGTGTTTGAGCTCGCATTCAGGCAGCTGCGACATTCCAGTGTTTGAACTGTCACTGATTCTTGCACCCTAGACAAGCTACCAGATTCACCGCTGCACCGGGCACCCCCGCTCCCACCTACAGCCCCATTCTGCATGAGAATTTGGTGTTTGGAATGTTTTGACTCTCGGGGCGGGGTCCTCGCCTTATCATCCTCACTGTGGAATAATGAGGAGGGGGAGGAGAATCTTCATCAGAAAACTGGTTTTGTGTAGTAAACTTTACTTTGTGGTTTGTTTTTGTTTTGTTTTGTTTTTTGGGGGTTTGGGTTTTTTTTTTTTTTTTTTCTGTCTGTCTGTGCAAGACCTGCAGCTGCTGAAATCAGCTTTGCCTTTAATTAAACCATGTTCTCTCCAACCAAATCTGTGTTGAATCTTCTCTTGTCATAGGAGATAGAGTACTAAGGAAATCCATCTGACAGGCCAGAATTTTAGCCACTTACTGGTCATCCTGGGGAAAGCAAAGATGGTCAGAACTTGAGAATGTTTTGCTTTTAGTAGCATGCTAGACCCATGAGTTTCTGTGGAAAGGGGGAAGAGAAGCTGACTATCAGAATTCTTTTATTTCGTATAAAGGCCAGGATGGCTGTAAAGAAGTTACTAGCCCACCTTTTTAATCCTCACTGTAGCTGCTGATGAGACAGACAGTTCAGAGATAGGTTAGCCTTCTGGCCTGAAAAATTCACTGCATGAGCTAAGCAGCAAGGAGAATTACAGTTCTTTGCATTGGGGTTGCTTTTCTTCGAGGACTGTTCCAGTCCCCACTGGCTTATGAGCCTCCTGCAGCTTGCTGGGAGCCAGTGCAGGAGCTCATGGTCAGGTCTGCGCAGCACCCCGCCAGCCCTCTGCTTGGCCAATGTTGATTCAGTCTGTGGTTTCTTTTCTAACTGCCTTTTACAAAGCATCTACACACTTCAAAATTTGCTAGCAAAGCCATATATACTCCCCAAGAAGGGAAAGGGGATTAACCAGTTGTGAAGGTCTGGTATTGCTAGAATCCAAGTTCACCCTGAAAAACTAGACCGTTAAGATAAAAATGCTAACTGAAACAAAACTATAGCACTCTACTGCGCAATGTTAAAATGTCAATACAGGGGACCAGGGACCAGCCAGTGATGTAATCATTACGTCACTGGACTCCCACATAGTCTACCAGGGTTCAAGTCTTGGACCCAGCAGCTTAAAACTCACACTTGGTGCATATTTGCACAAAATTCTGAGAGGAGAGTGGAGGAAATGGGATTGCAGCGTGGCCATCCCCCCGTGGGGTGATTTCTCGCTTTCTGTCTTCTGTCTCCCCATGAGCACACACGTCCTAAGGGAAAATCTCTAAAAAACTTAATACAGCACATAACATAAAGTGTTAACTCACAGGAGACTACTAACCTACTAACCAGCTGGCTTCCTGCAACCGCTCTTCATTTACATGTTAGTGGTATATACTCAGTAGTGAACCCATAACAGCTGTTTCCTGAGAAGGTGTCAAGGGGTGTAACTAGTGGTTTAATTCTCCATGAAATGGAATGCTGTATCCCATTGGAACCCAGCTCAGCCTGCATTCTATTTGGACAGTGAGACCTCTCGTGAAAAAAGAAAAGTTCATTTTTGTATGTAGCTAATACACGCCTTCAGAATTACCTCTGAGGTTACTTCAAGCCTTAGGAGTATGTGGCAGCAGCGGTACAGGAGGAAGTTTACACTTGGCTCTTGGGCTCAGACTGGATGTCCCTTTGGTTTTGTGAGGTACATTCTTTATTGAGGTATCGCACGTACAGAAGTGCACCAGTCTTAAGTATTTTCAACTTAGTGAATTTCTCACAAAGTGCACACACCTGAGTAGCCAGCATTCAGAGCAAGACACAAGATTATCGGCTCCTTGGAAGATCCCCTCGTGCCTCTTCCAGATACTTCCATTCACTTTTTCCATCACTTTATGCCCCTCTAGCCCAGAAATCAGCAGAGCATTGTCCAGTTGGTTCCATTTTAATGGGAGGGTTAGGTTAGCTAACACTTCCAAATTGTAACGTCTTGGTACAGCATACAGCAGAAGCATGCAAAATCATGCAAACAATAAGGGTTCCTTTCCTTGAACTTTGTGGGTTGTAGGATATCCTAGACTCCTCTGGGAGTGCGTTCCAAATCCGTGGTTATATATTCTTCCACAAACGCTTTGGGGAAGATGCCGACTTTCCCTTTGCACTCCCCTTCCAGCCACTCTTCATTCACTGGTAAAGGAAAAGTGCACATTAAACTCCACAGCCAGTCCAGGGGAGTTGATCTGGCCTGGTCTTCCACAGATCTAGCAGGCCACCTCCCCCACTCCCAGCGTGGTAACCAGGGAAAGACAGACTGAAGGGTAGGAGAGTGAACATAGAATTTAGCTGGGGCAAGCAGTTGGTGTAATGGCTATGTCACTGGACTCCCATGTAGTCAACCATGGTTCGAATCCCAGACCCTGCGGCTTAAACACACCGGGCGCGTGTGTATGCGTGCCCAAGATCCCGAGAGGAGAAAGGAGGAAAAGGGATTGCGGCCGTGGCCATCCTCTCGGGGATGATTTCTCACTTTCTGTCTCTGTCTTTCTGGCGAGCACACGTGCCCTATAGCAAGAAAAACCTCTCCAAAAAAAAAAAAAAAAATTTAGCCACCCTACTGATTTCTGTCTGAGGCATGTTAATAAAGGAGTGAAATGCAGAATGAAGTAGCCTGTTTCAAAAGGTTACTAGATGGAAGAAATTAATCTTTAGGTTTTGAAGGGGGTTTTTTTGGTAAGGAGTTTTACCTGAGTTTTGTTGGGAAATCTATTTTGACTACAAAAAAGGGACTTGCCATTGGTTAGGTATATTAAAAACTGAAAGTTCACTAGTCAGTGGTTCGTCAAAAGAGCAGAGTCGGAGTTAGTCCTAGTACCTGTCTGTAAAATAGAAAGAGTTGAATAGTTTAAGCCATTAATAAAGTGCATTCTACTAGAATACATGAGGTTGTCGGGAAAATCACGATGCATTTTTGCATAGGAAAAGGAAATACCTCATGACTTCTATAACCTAATGTGTACACGTGGACTTTCCAGTGGCTTAATTGTAGATATTGCTTCATTTTACTAAGGAAAAGAAGACCCAAAGAGGTTAATAGTTTGTTCACACCCATTCTACCAGTAAACATCAGCCAGCCCAAGTTCCCAGCCATCAGACCGCACAGCTGGTTGTGGTCTCCCTTTGGTTTTTTGTTTGTTTAGGATTTTGCCATAGGGTGCATGTACTCACCAGAGAAAGAAACAGACACAGAGAGGAGGAATGTGAGAAATCACCCCTCTCCCCAAGGGAGATGGCCACACTGCAATCCCTTCTACATTCTCTTGGGATTTTGGGTGTGCACACATATTCACCCAGCGTGATTTTCAAGCCACCGAGTCTAGGACTAGAGCCACAGTTGGTCATGTGGGAGTCCAGCGCCTTAACCACCCTGTCACCTCTTGGCCCCGTGGAGTGACCCTTTGGATGCGAGGCCTCCAGATCAGAGTGAGAACACTGGAGCCTGAGACCTGGCTCAGAAATTCCAGTTTAATGCTTCAGTGTGCAGTATGGTTGCCATCCGTTTATTTTGTTTGGCTTTTGGTTTTTAAAAAATATTTAATTCCATTTGTTACTATTACTACTACTACTACTACTACTACTACTACTATTATTAACTTGACTAGAGAGAGAGAGAAAGGGGAAGTGAGAAAGCAAGCCACCAGGCCTAAGACTCAAACCGAAGTCATGTGGGAATCCTGCTACTTTAACCACCACTCCACCCACCAGCTCCACTGTCAGTTTTTCAAACGTTCCCTCAGGTGATTCTAATTGCAAACCACTGTCTTGGTTTTTCCTATATGGAGTGTGGACTAGAAGCATTTGTCCTATGTCCTGGGAACATAATATAAAAGCAGAATTCCAGACCCCACACCGAACCAGAGTCAATCCATTTTAAGAAATCCCTGGGTGGTTTGTGTGTAAGTTGAAAGGTTTGGGGGTTTGGTTTGGTATGTTTTTTTCTTTAGGGGAGAGGTTATTTTTGACAGGGTCTCTGTGTCATGATCAACCTGCCATGGCCTCCTAGTTAGCTAGACCCACTTGTGTCGTCACATCTGGCCTTGTGAGGTTGGACTGGGGATCAAGCCCAGGCCTCCCATGTGGCCTCGGCCTCCTAGCAGCACTGTCCTAGCAGTGCGTGCCTCCATGGCTGAGCCTTTAAGTTTGAGAAACACTTTGTAAATGAAACCGTCTCAACTGTTAATACCCTTCACCTTGTCCTCAGGCCCACCCCCCGCTGAGCTCTGTTTTCTACCAAAGTGTTAGGATGAAGTGCTGAAGTATGGCTTCAACTGACTCAGAGTTGTCTGCGTGTAGTAGAGACTGTCCTGCCTGCCTGCCTGCCTGCCTTCCCTCCTTACCTACCCAGGTTTCTCTGTATGCTCTCGTTTTCATCTCATCCCTGTTCCTTCCCCATGTAAAACTGAACAGTTTGGCTGGTTGGTTGGGTGATACACAGAAAATAGCCCGAGGAGTTCCTGTATCCAGTTCGTAACTGCAAGAGCAGTTCTGAGTAACTATCTTTAAGGCAAAATGTACCCCCTTCCCTCCTCTTTGAGAAGTGCATCAATTCAAAGAACCATGGTTTCCAGAAGGTAAGCTTTGGTATGGCTTGGTGCAAAGGTGGAATGACTCCAGACAGTTTGTTTTAATTTTTTTTTTTTTAGAGATTTTTACTATAGGGTATGTGTGCTTGCCAAAGAGACAGAAAGGGAGAAATCTCTTTCATCACAATCCTGTCTCCATTCTCTCGGGACTTGGGCATGAATAAACGTGCACCCCATGTGAATCTCAAGCCACCATATCTGGGACTCGAACCTTAGTCGGCCATGTGGGAGTCTGTCACCTTAACCACTGTGCCACCTGCTGACTGTAACCAGCCAGTTTGTTAACTCTGGGAGTGGGAATCTAAACGTAGCCATCTTGAACATGCAGGCAGCAGCCTGTTGCTTGCCTGCCTAATGGAGTAACAGGAAGGAGAAGGCTGAGCACTGGGTGTTCCCTTCAACTGGAGCTTAGGAGATAGACCACCAGCTGCAGTTTGGCTTGTAGGTAATTGATCATTCCTTCTCTGCCCTTGAGCATGTTCCTGCTCACATAGGAATTAGTCTCTTTACTCTCAGAGTCACACTTACCCTTCGATAGCACCAGAATTACATCCCCTTCCAGAAAGTCCAGGTCCTCTGGCTGGGTAGCCTCATAACTGAAGAGTGCCACCACTCGGCTCCCTTCCTTCAGCTGTGGCTCTGTATGGTGTTTGGCGTCAGATTTTTCCCTTTCCTCAGGTTCATCTGGAAAGCCTTGGTCACCCTGAAATGATAAAAGGGCCAATTATCTCCCCAGTTTCTTGGACAGTGAACATTTAAAGGAACTAGGCCGATGTGAAAGGAGCTCCCAGGATATAAACTTAGAAAGGTGAGTTTGTGATCAGCGCCTGGTGTATATCTCATCTGCACTTCGTGAACACTGGGTGGTCGGATCGATGAAGCCGAAAGGTGTGCGAGCCAGATGCAGGCTTAAACTTACTGAGACCTCACGGGAATGCTGAGAAAGGTAGAAGAGGCACTCTTTCTTTTCAGATGGGGAAACAGAGGTAGAGTCAAAAGCCAGTGACAAGCTCATGTCAAACCCAGACTTCTTAGCACCAAGTCACTTTCTCCACTAGGCACCTTCCAAGAAATTCAGGTTCTTAGCTCCATCTGAAACTTAGTAAATCAGAAACTCCCCAAGAGTGGGGCCCTACAATTTGTATTTTAAGTCTTCTAGATAATGCTGATACTAAAGTTTGAGAACCACTCAGCACCATACTGTCGCTATAAGAGCATGGTCTTTGTCTTTATCTGTAACATCATTTTCACACACCTTAGACACTGGGCTCTTAGACTTCTTACACATGGTCATTTTTACCCCACAGATGTTGGAGGAGAAGGGTGTGGTTTCTAGAGGTACAGATCGTAGGGTTCAGAATGCCTAAAGATGAAGTCGCCATTAGAAATGCTGCTCAGCTGTGAATAGAATGCGGTGCTGTGTGAGAAAGCTCTGGCTTCTTAGTGCTCTGTGTTGAATGTTGATGCGACCTTTCTACTGAAAGACAATACAGTGAGATGGAAATGGCCTTGGGGAGGCCACGGACTTAGGTTTGTATCCCAGCTTCACCGCCTGCCCACTGTGCATCCCTGAGCAAACAGTCTCTGAATCTCAGCTTCCTTACTTGAGGTTGAGAGTAAAGTGAAATGAGACAATGTAGAAGAAGAAAAGTTGGTCTTAATTGAACAGTTTGTGACAAGATAATTCTAAAAGCATGTAAATATTTAAACTTGGTTAGTGGTAAGTATTCTTGCATAGAGTAGATGCTTAATGTTGGTTCATTTTCCTTCTTCCTAGTTAGTGGATGAGAACAGCAACTTGCTGCCTCCCAAGGGCAGCCCAGAGGCTGGACAGCTTCCAGAAGACAGTTGGGAGTCTGGGGAGGGTTGGCCATGTATAGACACCTAGGTAAGACTGGAACACCTCTCAAATAAGAAAAAATATTTTTTTAAAAATTAGGTGAAATGCTTCATATATGGCAGAATCCTTTCAAGACAATGCTGATGGGGTTAGTCCAGAAACACAGTGGGGAAAACCTTGAGTAATCTTTCAAAATTGTAAGGAACCCTTACACTCATTTGTACCCCCAGGGTTCTGTGGCTTTTTCTATCAACCAAAGATACCAGGAGGGTCAACCCCAGTGGCTCTGCTTCACGTAGGCAGTTTTATGGGTGCTAAATACTACAAGAGGGTTGATACAATACCCTCTCCAAGCTCATTTTCCTTCATCTTTTCAACTTTTTTTTTTTTAATGAGAATCTACCAAGGAAGTCCTAACTTTAGCTAACCAGAAGTCCCTGCCCCGCTGAGAATGAGGTTTAGAGGGGACTCTGCCTCCACTGTAGGTCCTAGGCCTAGATGGGCCAGGACAGCTCTCCCAGCACGGACATTGCCCTGGTCCTGAAATCCACTTGCAGGTGAGAAATACTAGCTCTCCCAAGGATTCACGCATGAGCTGTTTCATTTGATGTCCTCCATGGAGACAGGGCTACAAATGCCATGGCCAAAAAATGCTAAGGCAGAAAGCTAAGGAGGGGGAGAACAGAAATTCCTAGGAACCCGACCAACAGCCTCGGTCAGTGGAGGAGGCAGTCTCATTAAGTCAGTATTCCTGAGGCTGGGCCCAGGCACTGATTACCCCAAGGAGCTTCACCTTGTCCCTATGCACAAAAAACAACTCCTGCTCCTGACACCCCGCCCAGCGCTATGCATGGCCTTCCGGGTCCAGCCCTGCTGCCTTTCCAGCCGTGTCTCCTGCCCCTGTCCCCGCTGCCCCCAGCTGCCTACTGTGCTGACTTGCGCTCCCTCTCCTCCACAGGCTGCATCCTCCCTGCCTCCACCTCACTGGTTTCCACTTAATGTCCTAAGGCTAAGCTTCAGGACGATTGATTTCAATATGGCTTTCTCAGGGAAGATGCCTTGTCCCACTTCCCCCAGCATTTGGGGGTAGGCACCCTCCCGTGTGGTCCACACCGCAGCACGGCATTGGCAAGACTCCTCAGGTTACTTCTGCGTGCTTCACCTCCCACAGTTTGCTCATGTCTTCCCTCTGGGAGGGCCTGTGTCTTACTGGTGTTTCTATCTCCAGAGCAGTAGGTGCTCAGCAAACGTCTGTTGAAGAATCAGTGTCACTAGGCAAGTTGAGAGAACAACCCAGTGTCCACCAGCAGGTGGAGGGGCACATCGCGGTGTCCGTGCAATGGAATGTCAGCAACCAAAAGGAACCAGATACTGAAACACCAAGACTATATGGGAACTTCAGAGTGTCTATGGGGAAATGGGACTTAAAGTACATTTGTTTTGGTACAAAAAAATAATTGTACCTATTATTTCGTAATAGGCTTGTTTGTGAACTTTTTGAAGACCCCTTCATATACCGTACGTGACACTTACATGACATCAGATAACAGGGAAAAGCATGTGGATAGAAGGAAGATGGTATTCCCGGACCAGAGCTGGGGGAGGGAGTGAACAACATCAATGAAGAAACAAGTGGCAGCTCCTCCCCTGTAGAGTCAGGGCCTGAGGCCAGGCTCGTTATCTGGTAGCTAATCTTCTAGTCTCGAACCTGGCTCCCAAACCTCATCACTCCTACCTGAAAGTCATCTGACTCCCAGACCTCAGGGCTAATTAGGCAGCCTCTGCACTGCAGGCACAGCGAGGGGCACAGGCCGGCTGGAGTCCTGGCGCCACTGCTGGCCAGCTGGGTAATCTTGCCAGGTCGCTTGACTTCTCTGTGCCTTGTTTGCCACCTTGTAAAGCGGGCTAAGGGTGCCTGCCTTGCAGAGACATGGGGTGCCCTGAGCACAGGGTCTGGAACTTGGGGAGCTCCCACAGGGGCTTGCAATTGGCTGTGGACAGCGGGTACCAAATGGTCCCTGTGAGGCTCCTGCGCATCCTTCCTCTCAGTGTCCCTCCCCCTAGGGACTTGAGGTGAAGAAGAATGGCCGTGAGCTCAGCCTCGAGCTGAGATTCCAGCCTTGTCAGCGAGGCACGAGGCTTGGCGCTGTTCGGCGGGGCGGCCGAGGGCAGGGCTGAGGTTTTCTGTGGGCTCCTGAGCTTGGGCCTGCTCTGCCCCTGGGAGACCCTCTAGCAGCTGCAGCCGGGGTGAGGATGCAGAGCAAAGGGAGGGGGAGCTGCTGGTTGCCACTGTGTCCCCAGCACCATGTGTACTGCCCTAGCACAGAAAGGGCTTGCTCCGTGTTGGCCAGGTGAGGAAGTGGCCTAGTGGAGACATGGCTCAGGTGCCCCAGGCTCACTTACCACTGTGTTCTCGCACCACAGAGTCAGGCAGTAGTTTTTCACCTGGCCCCAGGCATCCTTCATGGTCTCCTCTGAAAGGGGCACCAGCTCATTGCTGTCCCGAGGCCGGTAGCTGGGTAGGCATAGTGAGTGAGAACAAGTCAGAGAACATCAGCCCCAACCCCAGCCGCCTCTGCCGTCCTTCAGGCCACCCGGGTCCCCAGCTGTTCCCCTGCAGGCTGCCCACGGGGAGCTCACCTCAGCTGAGTGTGCTCCGGCCGAAGCTCCAGTTTCGTAGATACCAGGTTCCGGACCTGGCTGTACGGGAGCCCGAGCTGCGTCTCCATGACCACCGTGTACTTGTAGTGCACCTTGAGTGTGTAGGGCATGGGCACGCTGAGCTTGACTTCCTGGAGGGCACAGCGAGAGGGAACACAGGAGCTTTAGGTGTTAGCACAAGGCGTGGCCAGGCCACTGGGAGAGGCCAACTAGCTGGTTTCAGAGTCCCCAGAAGGCCTACAGAGGTCCCCTAGCCTGACTCACTTAGACAGAGATCCCTGCTGGGCAAGATCCAGCCCACCTGCTAAGAGCTCCATTGGAAATGTGTGCGTGGGGGTATGGGAGGTCATGCACGGGGCTCCCTAGGCTATGACTGTGTGTGAGGGGGCAACTGGCCTGACCCTTCCATGCATAGCGCTGGGCGGGGTGTCAGGAGCAGGAGTTGTTTTTTGTGCATAGGGACAAGGTGAAGCTCCTTGGGGTAATCAGTGCCTGGGCCCAGCCTCAGGAATACTGACTTAATGAGACTGCCTCCTCCCTTTCTACAACCCAGAGAGACGCGCCTGTGGTTGACAGCTCCGCCACCTTCTGCCACTTACCCTGAGCTCTTCTTTTTGTTTCTGACCTAAAGGGAAGAGATAGGGAGTGAAACCAGGAGTTGTTTTTTGTGCATAGGGACAAGGTGAAGCTCCTTGGGGTAATCAGTGCCTGGGCCCAGCCTCAGGAATACTGACTTAATGAGACTGCCTCCTCCCTTTCTACAACCCAGAGAGACGCGCCTGTGGTTGACAGCTCCGCCACCTTCTGCCACTTACCCTGAGCTCTTCTTTTTGTTTCTGACCTAAAGGGAAGAGATAGGGAGTGAAACAAAAGAAGACATGGAATGAATGCTCTTGGCCAACCCCTGCTGTGCACAGAATGAACCTCTGAGAGCAGGACATCCAGCTTCTCCCCCGTTAGTCTCTGCAGCGACTGTTAACCTTAGTAAGCTGTGCAGAAATCTCACCCTGGGGAAAGGCGAAGGTCATAAACCCACGCGCGAACCCAGTCTCTGCTTTAGGGAGGCCACAGGTCATTATCAAAGCACCAGCACGTCCTCATCAACCCACGGGGTGAACAGGGATCCCCAAGGTCAGCTTAACAGTAGGATCCTCAGCGATAAAGAGCAAGGAGTGTGGGCTAGTGGGTGCATAGTGGTTAAAGCACTGGATTCCACACGGCCAGCTCGGGTTTGAGTCCCAGACCAGCAACCTGAAAATCACACCAGGCACTTGTGTGTGCGTGCCCAAAATCCCAAGAGGAGAATGGAGGAGAAGGGATTGTTGTGTAGCCATGCCCTCTGCAGAGTGATTTCTCACTTTCTCTCTCTCTGGAGAGTACACATACCCCATTGCAAAAAATCTTTAAAAAAAGCGGGTGGGGGCAGGAGTGTGAGATGAGCCAGGACTAAGAAAAAATACTGTAACCACCGACTTTCACCTTGCCCTTTACTTTTGTGTGTGTTTTCTAATGTTCATAATAAGTTTTACACATAAAATCTACATAAAACAGCATAGTTACTATGCTTGGTGCCTGGTCAGAAAGCATCTGATCTCAACCAGTAGAATAACCTGAAAACTTTTGCTAAAAACTTCCCTCTGAATTCACAAGCCCCATTCCAGTTCTAAAAACTCTGAACCAAAGGCTTAGGAATCTGTATATTCTTTTTCTTTTTGATTAATTAATTATTTATTTAATTCCATTTATTATTGTTATTATTATTATTATGTTTCAACTTGACCAGGTAGAGACAGAGAGAGAAAGGGAAAGCCAGAAAGCAAGCCGCCAGGTCTAGGACTCGAACTGTGGTTGGCCATGTGGAAATCCAGTGCCTTTAAGCACCTCACCACCTGCCAGCCCCCCCCCCCTTTTTTAAGAGAGATTTTTGCTATAGGGTGTGTACACTTACAAGAGAGACAGAAAGCGAGAAATCATCCCCCCAAGGGGGATGGCCATGCCACAATCCCTTCCCTTCCATTCTCCTCTTGGGATTTTGGGCGTGCCTAGCATGAGTTTTAAGCTGCCCACAGTTGACTACGTGGGAGTCCAGCAATGTAACCATTACACCATCTGCCAGTCCCAGAACCTGTATTCTTAGGACCTTATGTTCTTATGTGATCCTTGAACAGAAAAGATAAAATGCTACCACGGACATGGGGGTTGGGGAACGTGGGGAGATTTGAACACAGGCTCTGCGTAACATGATATTATATCACTGCTAAAGGTTCTGGATATGACAGTTGTACTGTGGTTATGCAGGGGACAGTGCGTGCTCTCAGGAGAGCCATGCTGAAGTGTGGAGCAGGCATCCTGAGTCTTAATGCACTGAGAAGCAACTAGAGGAGAAAGAAATTATATGGAGAAAGGAGCAAAAGGGAGCCAGGCGTCTACTGAACTCCACTTCTACTTTTCTGTAGGCTTGGTGTTTGTCAAAATAAAACAGGGTGGGCGCCCTGAGTGCTCCTGATGACCAGGTAGGCTCCGACAAGCCACCTATTCCATGTGTCTGTACTAAGTGCTTCCCCAGAACTGGATCCGACTGCACCAGGGATGGAAGCCTGCACCGCCCCACCCCCTCACATGAGCGGACAGCCATACAGACAGAAATCTCCCTCCCCCTCTGCCCACTGCTCTTTGTCCCTCAGGGCTCTGTATCTTTTCCAGATACAGCTCTATAGATGCTTGTAAAGAACCGTTCCAGGCCCCTCGCTTGGAGTCGGAGTTGAAAGTGCTTGACCCCTGAGGGCTTTGGTAACTACTCAAGTCAGACACTCTGTTCCTCAGAGGCCAGCTGCATGCACCCGGCCTTGTGTGTGCTGGAGTAAGCAGGGAGGGGGCCATCCCTTCTGTCTTGGTGGGTGGTGCGTGTAAGAGAGGGCATCCGGGGCCATGTGGCCATCAGCTTAGTGGCATGCTGGGAGGAGGAGAAACCAGAATTTCCTGGAAGGCTGGAGAGCAAGTTCCGGTCAGGAAGCAGGTACACATGCTCGGGGCCACTCACCTGGTGACAGCTGGGGTCTTCCAGGGGCACTGGAACTAGGAGGCGCCGGAATGTCAGACTCCGGGGACATCTCCTCCTGGTGTGACAGGAGGAGATGGTCAGAACATTCATTCGGAACTCCCAGGCAGGGACGGGGGTTGGGAGAGACTCCATAGATCCCCATGAAAAGGAGGCCGATGCAATGACTTCCTAGACATGGTGGTGGTGGTGACATTTGGAGAAGACTAAGAACAATATTGGTTAAAAGGAGAGGTGGGGGACCAGCAGATGGTATAGTGGTTACGTTGCTAGACTCCCATATGACCGACCACAGTTCGAGTCCTGGACCCAGAGGCTTGAAAATCACTCTGGGTGTGTGCACGCATGTCCACAATCCCAGGAGGAGAAGGGATTGCAAAGCAGCCATCACCCCAGGGAGTGATTTCCCACTTTCCCTCTCACTGTCTCTCTCTCTCTGGCATGTACACATACCCTAAGGCAAAAATCTCTTTTAAAAAGGTGGGGAGAGGCAGGGTTGGCCTTGTGAAAAGGAGAATCACAGTGGAAGGGAGTGTCCTGACCCCCGCCCACAAGGCCACTGCCTCCTCATCTTCCCTTGGACCCTTGTTGGGCTTGGAAATGGGGCAGGACCCTGAGCTCTTGTCTCTGCTGCAGTGGGCACATCTCATTTCACGGCACCGGGTTGCATGGCCGAGAGAGACAGGCTCCACTGCCCTCCATTTGCATGGTGGTGTAAACCCCATGGCGACCACTGTCCAGGCCAGGCAGAGGGCAGGCCTGTCGGGGTGCTGGAGGAGTGGGAGCATCGGTGGCTGGTGAGGCCTGGCCAGCTCACTGCTCTGCAGCGAAGCTCTTCTTATTTCCACTGGCATCGCACCAGCCTCCACAATAATTCCAGGCGATGAGGGCACTTCCAGGAAGACCTAAGCCTCACTTATGGTGGATTCGGTTCCCAAGTCACCCCGACTAGGAGGAGGCACACAGGTGGGTGAGCCCAGTGGGTCCTACATATGCTCTACTCGGCTGCACTTTCCCCCATCCTCGGTCCAGTTCTGGGCCTCTGCCCCAACTCGAGGAGGGTCGGGGCCAGTGAGTCTCCAGTGACCGTGGCAGCATATCTTCTGCCTGCTCCTTCCCCTCCAGGAAGCAGTCCGCAGATGGTGGGAGGGAACGGGCCAGGTCTTAGCTCAGCTTACCTGGGGCTGCTGCTGCGGGTGGATCCGCAGTTCCACTGGTTCAAGGTAGTTGCAGGGAACAAGCCCCTTCTGCAGCGCAGCACCAGGGAAGCAGAAAAAGGAAAATAAAGACATGCTCGTTGATTCCCACGCCACACGCGGCCCAGAGGTGGGGGTGAGGGGCACGCTGACGAGGGAGCTGGACCCGTCTGCATGTGAGAGAGCAGACGCTCGTCCGAGAAGTCTCTGCCGTTCGCTGCCAGGATCCCCTGCCCATCGCACCAGCCCCAGTCCTCAGAGTACCTGCCCGTTGAACATGACTGTGGCCCAGTTGTCACTGCCCTTCTTCAAGACAAAGACAATGTTTCCAGGCATGACCTGGAGCTCCTCTGATGTCTCGGGCACAAACCCAAACAGCACCCGATGGGCCTCCCCTTCCAGCGCCCTGCAGGGGGTAGACATGAGATCCAGTCCCGACCAGTCCAGACCACATCCTTTCTCCCGGTGCTGTGGGACAAGCACAATGGGCTCTGGGCCCCAGGCTCACTCTAACTCCACACCTACTGCCTTTGTGGCCCCGAGCATGGGTGCCAGTCCACCCGGGCTCCCGAGAGGACCAGGTCAGAAACCGCATGTGGACGTGCAGCAGGTGGACAAGGTGAGAGACAGAGGGAACCAGCACTGGATGAGGAGGACGTGCAGAGGAGCCTCACCTCCCGCCCTTGGGGTAAGCTCCACCTGCTCCCCAGTCTGGGCTGGGAGCATCAGGTGAGTGTGACAGGGTGGGGGGGGGTAAGGGCTCAAGGTGGGGTCAAGTGAGAGAGAGCCCGCCGGCTGGGGAGAGAGAGAGGGAGGGGGTCCCCTAGAGCAGGGGCCCTGAGGCCGCGGCCGGGTCCCTGTTGGGATCCAGGCCACACAGCAGGAGGTGAGCAGTGGGCCAGCCAGAGTAAGGGAAGCCTCATCTGTATTTACAGCCACTCCCCATTGCTGGCATTTCCGCCTGAGCTCCACCTCCTGTCATACGGGCTGCAGCCTGAGGTCCTCACAGGAGCACGAGCCCTGCTGTGAGCTGTGCGTGTGGGGATCGTGGTTACGTGCTCTCACAAGCCACCCCTCCTGTCCATGGAAAAATGAGTTTCCGTGAAACTGGTCTCTGGTGCTAAAAATATTGGGGACCACTGCCCTAGGGCTAGCAAGAAGCCAGGGGAGGCGGAGGGTGCAGAGCAAGAGAAGGGAGCTGAGCCGACTGTCGGGAGTGTACAGGGTCCTGAGGCAGCCTTGCTCCCTTCCTCAGTGCCTCTTCCCCTGGCCATCTCCTCACCACCTACTTGACTCTTCGAGACTATGGGGTGTCTCATCTGTGTCCCCTGGGCATGTGCAACTGAGAAGCTGACTTCCTGTTTCAGCCCCATCCGGTCCCTCTCCCTGGCTTATTTCCCCTCAGCCTGCCCTTCTGTTTCTATTGAGGTAGCGAATACAGACTCCGTCGGCAGACAGAGCTTAGAAATGAGTTCATCTCACGCTGGGTCTTAGACTCTGTACTCTTTTAGCTTTGGTACTTTTTCCTTTTATCATTTTTTTTTTTGAGGGGTTTTTCACTATAGGACGTGTGTGCTCGCCAGAAAGACAGAAAGAGACAGAGAGATAGAAAGTGAGAAATCACCCCCCAGGGGGGATGGCCACGCCGCAATCCCTTTTCCTCCATTCTCCCCTCGGGATCTTGGGCACGCACGCACACACACCCAGCGCAAGTTCAAGCCACCGGGTCTGGGACTCGAACCGCGATCGACTGCATGGGAGTCCAGCAACATAGCCATTACTCTAACTGCTGGTCCCTTATCATCATCATTATCATTATTTAGCTTGCTATAGGCGCTCACCAGAGAGAGACACAGAAAGAAAGTAAGAAAGCTAGCCACCAGGTATGGCACTGGAACTGCGGTTGGCCATGTGGGGGAGTCCAGCACCTTAACCACCACCATCTGCTGGCCCCCACTTTTTCCCTTTTTATAAACGTCTCTTTTGTTGGGTGGAGGAGCTAGGCTTGCTTCATTAGTGAGAGGCGAGTCTTAGGAAAGCTGTAGGTTATGTCACTCTTTGCTTCTCATCTTACAGAAGAGTGACTTCCTGTTCTTGGGTCCTTCCTCTTAGTTTTTCAGAGAACATGTGCCAACGGGAGGGGGACGTGCCCACACAGGGCAGGGGCACCATTCTGGCTTCCTGACTCCAGAGGGCTCCAGTTTCCCCTCTTCAGAGGGGCTCCCGCTGTATTAGACTCAGCTCCCATGCACAGGGAAGATGTGATCCAAGGGACTGTGCCGCGCCCAGTGACAGCCCCTCACCACGCGTGCGATTGTGCACAGGGACGCAGGGACACTGGGGTGCTGTGGAGCTGCCGCCAGGCCCTGATGGCCGGCCTCATGGCAGTCGAGGCTGCCTTCCACTAGGTCATTCCACTCTAGCCTTGAAAACAGAGGCCTAGCATCCTACGAGACCCCACAAGATTCCCACTGTGACTCCAGCTTCGCCAGCTTCATCCCCTTCATTTCCATCGGGCAGGCCTGGGGCGTGGGCAGTCCGTGTGAGGATCTGAACCGAACTTACCTGAAGATCTCCGGGGTTTTGGGTCTGGGCGGAGGCTCGGCTACCTAATGAACATTCGAGAGAGAGGAGGAAGGAAGGGCAGTCAGGGAGGGAGGGCGAGAACAGGTGGTTAGTGGACACCGAAGCGTTCTTCCAGGCCAGAAAATCGACAGTGCATTTCTGGCGGGTGGAACGCCGTCTGGGGAGAAGGCACAGTGCACCCTGGCTACACGGGCACAGCGCCTCCCACCAGCTGCCTGGGCGCAGATCTCACCAGCACCGTCACTTGCCTGAGCTGATGTCTAGAGAACGTTCTCTGTCACAGAACAACATGGTGCCACGGAGTGCTTTTGACCTTGAGCTCCGTCCCTTTCAGAGCAGTTCCCCAAAGCTCTGCTCTATAATTAATGTCTGCTGTCTCACACGATCCCTCTGGGTATTTAACATCAACTCAGGATCCACTGAGCAGGCAGGAATTCCTCTGCATGCGTGCTCCTGTCGCACACGGAATGCCATGGAGTCTGGTGACCGGGCCTTCTCTCTCATCCTCTGGCTGAACGAAGCCCAAGGCACCTCGGCCAGGCCTCCTTCAACTTCGTTGTGAAGAAGGCGCTCAAGGAGTGCGGGCGCTGGCTCTCCTTTACCCTTCCGTGCTCACCTACCCTGCCAAGCCCCAGCTGGTCGTCTGGGCCGGCAGGAGTCATCCTGACCCTGCTAGGTGGTTTGTGCAGGCGTGTTCTGGGTGTGGGAGGGCCACACCCAGGACGCGCCCCCTCCGCTGGTGTTGACCTGCCGCTCTCCCTTCCCGGCCCGTCGCCACGGAGCTCGGCCTGACTCACCCTCCTCCCTTCACACACAAGCTCTGTCTTTTTATTTATTTATTTTTTAATTGCAAGAGGGTATGTGCACTCTCCAGAGAGACAGAAAGATAGAGAGAAGGAGAAGGCACCTCCCCATGGGGTGTGGTCATGGCATATCCTTTCTTCTCCATATCTCCATCCTGCTGGGATTTGGGGCATGTACACCCAAGTGCTCAGCCTGTTTTTCAAGCTGCTGAGTTGGGCTGGGCTGGGATGCGAACCTCAATCAGCCATGTGGGATCTTGCTCCCTTAACCACTAGGCTAGGGCCAGCCCTCTGTTTTCTAGACCTCTATCACCCAGTTCATCTGGGACCACCCCTCTGAGCCCAACGGGAGTGCTCGGCCTGTACTCCCGAGGCACCCCCTGCACACAGGCAGATGGGTAGAGCCAGACCCCCACTGCCCCACATTAGCCCCTGTGCCCTGGAACGGGCTTTGTGAAAAAGCCTCCCATCGCTTGTATTTTGTTTGCTGAGAGCATGGTTGTGGCTTTGGAGAGTCATCAGGAGAGCTCTCAGAACGTAAAGCAGTGAAGACTGGCCTTTTGTGGGAAACGGGGCCTTATTCCCTACAGCTATGGTGCCTAGGACAGGAATGGCGGACAGGCACCTCCAGCCTCTATCAAAGGAGGCCTCTCCACACAGTTCACGGCAAACGGTCTGCCCAGCTGCACGTGCCAGAGAGCTCTGGGCACCCAGATCCACGAGGAGGTGGGAATGGCCTCACCTGTGGCTGCAGAGGGGCGAACCCGGAGAAGTTATCTTGATCCACCACAGACGCCACAACCTGAAACCGAGACCAGGAGAGGTGAGGCTCTGCCGGCCTTCCTTGCCCATCCTTCTGCCTGTTCCCCAAGATACTCTCCCTGCTCACGCCTGGGCCATCGCACTGCTGCCTGGTTCTAGGCATGGACAGTGGCTGAGGATTAGTTACGGATTAGTTGCAGATACAGGATTAGTTACACTTTATCCACTGAATAAATTATACACTGGAAAAGTCATAACGTATTTTTCTGTTTGTCTATGCAAAAATGCATCATGACTTTCCCAATGACCCAAGAAAGAGTACCTGCCCCTCCCCCGCTAATCCAGGCTCACTTTCTCTCTTAAATACAATTTTTATGGGGATATAATACGTATAACATCGCATTAACCATTTTAAAGTTTGCAAGTCAGTGGCATTTAGTACATTCAAATGCTGTGCAACTCCCAGCTCTATTTGGTTCCCAAACATTTTCATCGGAAAGGAAATGCCACGCCTTCCCCGGCCCGGCAGCTGCCATGCGCCTTCTCTGCCAGCAGCTGCAGGAGTGCCAGTGCACGCAAGCGCGCGCTCGATCGCGCTGCTGCCCCGCTGTGCCGCGTCTAGCCTGCACCGGCACTTCGTTCCTTTCTGTGGCTACTATTCCGTGGTATGGACAGGCCACGTCTGGTTTATCCCTTCCTCCATGGGTGGATATCTGGGCTGTTTCCAAGCCAGGCCCTTGACTTTGCTGCAGGACCAACCCCAGCTGCCCAGCCGCTGGGGAAGTTTAGCCCCATGGATGTGTCAAAGTCAAGTGTGGTTTTGGATGGGGACAGCAGACCTGCTTTGGATCATGTCTGAAAGGACTTAAGATCGGGCTTCAGGAGAATTCTGGATTGAGTCTGGCCAGGGGGCTGTGGGTGTGGGAGTGAGCTCCGGGCAGTAAGCCGAGGTCGCACGCAGCCTTGCTCCCTCTCGCTCTCTCCACACTCAGCGAGCTGCTCGGAGCTGTTTCCTGCCAGGCTCAGGCCCAGGGTCAGGTGGCAGGGAGGACCGAGAGGAGCCTGGAGAACGCGGACTAGCAGCGTCTGCCCGTCTTCTAGCCAGGCCTCCAGGCTGTCCTCCGAGCGCAGCGCCGCAGGGGTGCCCTCTTCTCCAGAGTCCCTTCCCTCCCACCTCGCCCCAGCAGGCCCAGGCCAGGCGCGTGCCCCCTACCGTGGCCTTGCCCAGGTAATCCTTCTTGACCAGTTGAGCCACTTGTCTCTCGTTTGGTCGAAACAGCCTGCCCACAGGGATCACCACGGGCTCGTACAGCTTCTGTTTCTGAAACGCAGAAAGCATGGTGTTTCCTGACCGGAGGCGGAGGCAGTGCTGGTCCTGCCTCCCCACTGACCGGATGCGAGGAGCCACTGAGCCGACCTCACGAGAGGTCATGTATAAGCTAGTCTGTAAGGACACATCTTGTCTGGGTGTCGGTGCCACCTTACACTGAGAGGCCCTGTGGCAGCAGCTGGTGTTATTTTCTGAGAAGAGCTGACCCCTCCCATCTGCATGGTGTCCGGTGCGGTTCTCTCCTGCAGAGGGGGCACTGCTGCCACAGGGGTGGCCCCAGACTTGAGCGGGGCTCACAGTCCAGCTCTCTTGGGCTGACCTGGACAGACAAATAAGACTGACCTGAGTCCTCTTCTTTTTGGTGTTTTAAAAATTTAATTTAGGGGGGCCGGCAAGTGGCATGGTGGTTAAAGGCGCTGAACTCCCACATAGCCGACCACGGTTCAAGTCTCGGACCTGGTGGCTTACTTTCTCACTTCCTCTCTCTCTCTCTCTGTCTCTCTTTGATCAAACTGGAAAACAATAATGATAATAATAATAAATAAAGTTAAATAAAATAATTATTAAAAAAATTTAATTTAGGGAGACCAGCAGTTAGTATAATGGCTATGTCACTGAACTCTCATGTAGCCAACCGCGGTTCGAGTCCCAGACCTGGTGGCTTAAATGCACACCGGGCGCATGCGTGCCCCAGATCCCAAGAGCAGAATAGAGGAGAAGGGATTGCGGCGTGGCCATCCCTTTGGTGGGTGATTTCTTGCTTTCTATCTCTCTGTTTCTCTCTGTCTTTCTGGCAAGCACATGCGCCTGATAGCTAAAACCTCTCCAAAAAAGTTTTGATTTAGGGGCCAGCAGGTGGCATGGTGGTTAAAGGCACTGAAGTCCCACTTGGCTGACATTGGTTTGAGTTCTGGACCTGGTAGCTTGCTTTCTCACTTTCTCTGTCTCTTTCTCACTCTGTCCCTCTCTGGTCAAATTAAAAAATATAAATATATAAGTAAATAACCAAAGTTAAATAAAATAACTCTTTAAAAAATTGGTTTAAAACTAACTTATTTCCAAATGTGTTCAAAGTATGGATCATTATCACCACTCATTTGTATAAACGGTACATTTTTGGAGAGAGCGGCTGTGGGCCTGGCACCGCGGCAGGCTGCGAGGACTCAGTGGTAAGTAAGCAGACACGGCCTTTGCCCTCGCAGTGCTCAGAGGCTGCCTAGCTCCACCCCACTCTCCAACATCCTTCTGCCCCTTCCTCCATTGGGGCAGTGTGCTGTGGGGGCCCTGCCTTCCCAGACTCTAGTCTTGCTTTCTCGGCAGATCCAAGATCTTCAGGGGAACTGTGCTGGAAGGTCGGCAGTGCCCAGCACTCACAGAAAGTGAAAGCCCCACGCTTACGGGTTCCCAGTCGCGAATGTGCTGGAACAAGTGAGAATACAGTGCCATCGGCTCGCCCCGGCATCACCCACTCACTCACCCAGATGCACTCCATGGCCTTGTCGATTCTGGAGTGTCTGGGCTCCGACTTCATGCTCGTAGCCAGTGCTAACTGCTCTTCAGCCTTTTTCCACTCCTCCTTCTTGGCGTACATTAACGCGATGTTATACAGCACCTAGAAAAGCCCAAGCCACAGCAAAAAACCCGAGATCGTGTCAAGGCGAGGTGCTAGGGAAGGGCTTACTGCATGCCCAGAAATGGTGCCTGCTGGCATTTCTCCCTTTCTCAGCTCTCCTGGGACTATCTAACACATGGCACGATCAGCCCTGCTCCTGAGTGGCAAGCACCAAACACGGGTTAAGAAAACATCGTGTAATGCATATGCCCAGGGTCATCGTGTTCTCCCAACAACCCCTTGTCAGGGACAGACAAGGACAATTGCATTGATTTAGTACCAAGAAGAGTGACTTGCTCAAGGCCGCTTGAGGAAGCAGAGACAGAGCTGGGAATAAAATCCAGGTGCGTGACAGGAGCCAGGCTGCGCAGGCGCAGGGTGGGGGCAGGGCTCAGTGCCTTGTTCTGCACCAGCACCAGAACTCGGCCTGGACCTTGTTCCTAAGATATAGCAAGAGTGCAATATATTGGGTCATTGGAAAAATCAGGATGTATTTTTTTTCTTTTTTTTAAACAATATTTTTCTTTCATTGTATTTATTCAGTTATTTATTTCCATTTGACCAGAGAAAGACACACAGAGAGAGGGAGGGAGGGAAAGTGAGAAAGCAGGCCACCAGGCCGGGACTTGAACTGTGGTCGGCTATGTGGCATGCCCAGCGCCTTAACCATCATGCCACCTGCCAGCCCCAGGATGTATTTTTTCTATGCAAAAATGCATCATGACTTTTACGACGACCCAATAGCAATGTGCTCCAGCGAACTCCACGGGCAGAAGTCTGGCTGCCTGGAACAAGGCTTAGCACGAACCCAGGGGAGCTCCGTAACAGCCATCACTGCCCAGGTCATGAGGTGGGTCGCAAGCTAATGGGGGCTCAGCTGATTGTGTCAGAGCTACACACAGAATCAAGTAATACTTTGGGGCCATCAGCAAGGTTTTTTTTTTTTTTTTTTTTAAGGTTTTTGACATAGAGCATGTTTGTTTGCCAGACAGGGACAGAGAGAGGGAAAGTGAGAAAAGACTCCCCCTTGGGGGATGGCCATGTTGTAATCCCTTCTCCTCTATTCTCCTCTTGGGATTTTAAGCACGTGTGCACACATGTCTGGTGTGATTTTCAAGCCACTACTTCTGGGACTTAAACTGCAGTAGGCCATGTCTGAGTCCAGCACCTTAACGCCCATGCCACCTGCGGGCCCCTTAGCAAGAGTTTTATTTAAATGACTGAAAAAAATTTTTTAAAAAAGAGAGAAAAAAGAAAGGATGTTATGGAAATGAGGGGGCGTGGCCTTTGGGGCTAGGTTACAAAAAGCACTGGGGCTGCCTTACTTCCGCTCAGGTCACTTGCTGGCGGAAGCTGGTGCCATGTTACAACAGGGCGCAGGCAGTCTGAGGAAGTTCGTGTGGCAAAGACCTGAGCCTCCTGCCAGCTGGCGACACTAATCTCCAGCCATGGTGAGCAGCAGGATTGCGGTTCCATCCAGTTAGTGGCCAGTGCTGGACAATGGAGCTTGGATCAAGTCCAGATCAAGTGGGAGTCTAGACCCGCTGCAGGCCTGCTTCTGTGACTCTGTGCATGGCTGCCCCAGCCCACCCTGACCATGTGTGTAGAAAGAGGAAAACTCAGACCGTTTAAAACTTCTATTTGCTTCTCAGCCACCTTCTCCAAAGACCTTTCTCACAATCAGTTTTTATGACTTGACCAGAAAAACCTTGAGATTCTTTCCAAAAAATGGTGTGATTTCCTAGCAACCAGGTTTCCATCATGGTGGGAAGAGAGGAACTGGATTATAAGTAGGACAATGACTGGAGGGTCCCACGAGGCAGAGAGGGCTTGGGACCCTGAATGTCCAGCCTCACATGCAGAGAGGCCCTCTCAGCCAGTCTGTCCTGTCCTTCGGGTCATTTCAACCCAAGCTAGGAGGGATCTTCCTCCCATGGGATTCTGCAATGGCTCCATCCTTTTCTTAGAGCCGGTTGGTTCCCCCAACTTTTTAACTTGTACATGTGGTTCTCAGTGGGGTGATGGACCACATCTAGGCATAGTTTAGCTTGTCCCACTGGGCGGGGTGGGACGGTTGGTGATGCTGCTGGTGTCTGCTGGGCAGAGGCCAGAGATGCTGCCCAAGATCCCTCTGAAATAAAGAATGGTCTCGCCCAACGTGCCAGTTGCGCTATGGCTGAGAAACGCAACTCTGGGAGCGAATCAAACGCAGCCAGTTCCCACTGCGAAGCCTCTGCTCAGATTGTGAGGACTGAAGCAAACTGCTAGCTTGCTGCAGGGCTGTCCCCCCCCGACATGTCCCCAAGGACCCCTGGCAGCTGTGGGTTCTATTATTAGTCCTAAGCGACCCTGGGAACACTTGACTTCTTGTGCCTGAGAAACTGAAGCAAGGGGAATTTTTTCAGCAACTTTTCTAAATAAAGATATGACATTTGTAGGGATTTTAGCTTTTAAAGCTACTGGTATATTTTGAAGGGTGGGAGGGAGGTAGGGAAGGTTCCCTGGAAAAAGGACCTGCAAAGTCAAAGCCAGTCATGTCCCTCCCTTTTGCTAATAGAAACAAGTCGTTCTATGGAAGCCTTTACTTGGATTTGTGCTTTGAGCAAGAGGGGGCGGCTTCATGCCAAACTATCCTCATTCTCTCTTTGGGTATCAACCAAGTACATGGGGTGAGAACCGTTAACAGCCGAACGTAAGCCCTGTCTGGGGAGCAGTCAGTAGCAAGCTGGGCTGCAGGGCTGGAAGCCATGAGGCCAAGCACAGTGTAGACCCCAGAATCCGCCTGCAAATGCACTGGGCATGCATGGAGACGTCCAGGACCCTGAGGAGCTGGAGTGGTGGGCAGAGGGATAGTGCAGACGGGACCTTGTCTCCTGTCTTTCTCTCTCTCTCTCATGCATGCACAGGCACTCTGTAATGAATGAAATAAACTTTGTTTTCTTGCTTGCTATAGGGCATGTATGCTTGCTGGAGAGAGACAAAGAGAGACAGAGGGAAAATGAGAAATTACCCTCCACAGGGGATGGCCATGCCACAACCCCTTTTCCTCTGTTCTCCTCTCAGGATTTTGGGCATACACAAACAAGCACTTGGCGTGATGTTCAAACTGCTGTGTCTGGGACTTGAACCACGCCAATGGCCATGTGGGATCCAGCCACCTTCATCTCTATACCACCGGCTGGCCCATCAATAAAATAAACTTTAAATATAAACCAGAAAGCAGAAAACAGCTGTAGTCTGTAATGGGAAACTGAGTAAGGTCATGGCAGGTCCTTTGTGGACAGTGAACCCAAGACTTTCTTTCTTTCTTTCTTTTTTTTTTTTTTCATTTTTTTTTTAGAGAGAGTTTTTGGCTATGGGGGCATGTGCTCACTAGAGAGTCAGAGAAAGAGAAAGCTAGAAATCCCCCCTCCCTAGGGAGGACGGCCATGCCACAATCCCTTTTCCTTCACTCTCCTCTCGGAGTTTTGGGCAGGCACACACGCACATGTGCCCGGTGCGGGTTTTAAGCTGCTGGGTCCAGGATTCGAACTGTAGTCGACTACATGGGAATCCAGTGACATAACCATTACGTCATTCGCTGTCCCCAAACCCAGGGCGTTCGATCTGTTAGTAGAATGTGGAGCGAAGAACTGCTCAACCTGAGTTGCCCAGGCCCTGTCCTCACCTCGCAGGCAAACAGTTTGAACTGGAGCCCCAGGATCTTGTAGTCTATCAGCTGGTTCCCTCGGAGCTGAGTCAAGGCCTCTTTAAGGTCTTTAATAGCTGAATCGTATCTGCGGGACAGAGGGAGAAAATGAACCACCCAGAGCACGGAGGAACAGATGCGGAATAAAATGTGGGCCTGCCTCTCCCTTCCCACCCATCTCCGTGGGAAAAGGAGCCTTTCTGGTTCCCTTTGACCTGCCCTGCTTCCCCCACCCGGGAGCCTATGTTTCCTACAGAACTCGGTGTGAAGGGTGCCCCAGAGCTGCATGTCACGGCCACCCAGAGCTCCCCTGGCCTGGCACACCCACGGGGCTTTTTTCCCTGTTCACTGCGTCGACTCCCACCTTCCCGACAAGCTGGCTGATGGCCCTCAAACGCAGCCCCCCTCGGTGTCTCGGGCACTCCCTGCGGAGCTTGCATCTGCCCAGCACTGGGACATCCTAGAGCTGGTTCAGAGCACAGCCACCGACACGGCCCCCTGCCACAGCTCCTGTGCCTCCTTTTATTTGCTTACGTGTTTGCTAGCGGGCACATGCGCTTGCCAGAGAGAGGGAGAAGGAGAAAGGACCCCCCAACGGGACGTGAGGGCACCACAGTCCCTTCTCCATTTCTCTGTCCTGTTGAAATCAGGGGCACACACATGCACACAGAGTGTTTCCTTGTTTTAGATTTTTGTCATAGGGCATGTGAGCTGGCTGGAGGGAGACAGAGAGAGAAAGTGAGAACTCACCCCCTGGGGATGACCATGCTGCAATTTTTTCTCCTCCATTTTCCTCTTGGGATTTTGGGCATGCATGCACACACATCTGGCATGTTTTTCAAGTTGCCAGGTCTGGGACTCGAACCGTGGAGTCAGATATGGGGGATTCAGCACCTTAACTTCCATGCTACCTGCTGGCCCCTGGTCAAGCCACCAGGACCAGTATCAGTATTCAAACCGCACGGTCAGCCACGTGAGATCTGCTCCCTTATGCAGTAGGCACTGGGACCGGCCTGTGCCTTCCTTTGAATCCCACTTAGCTGTTGCTTTTGTGGCCTTGGACTCCTCTCCCTTCCCGTCTCCTCCACACACTTAGGAAAAAGGAAACCCACTGGAGGTAGGTCAGACCTCTAATGCTGCTCCCGGACCTGCCTTGTGCTGCTGGCTCAAGGTAGATCTGGGTGCTGGCCATGGACTCCTGGCTGAAAACAGGTTGGGCCCAGGCTAGCGTGGTCAGGATTCTCTGAAAGACATGGATGAGCCCTGGCCTGACTGTGACCCCACAGATGCCCTGGAGGGAGGGAGCCATGGCTGGGCTCAGCGGGGTGGGAGCAGCAAAGCAAGTTGCCACACTCCACACCCCACTCAGCCTCTGCCCGGCAGGAACAAATCTGGCTCCCACCTGGCCAGCTGGACTGAAAGCCCTCATGCTGTCTGACCCAGGGCTGCCATTGGGCCGTCTCTTGAGACAAGGCTGGAAGTGGGCACAGGCTTACTCAAAGTTCTACACTGTATTAGGTGCTATTAGGACATTAAAAAGATACAGAGTAAGCCCAGTGGTAACACCCAGGCCCTGTAGTGCTGGAAGCATACGGCCACCTTGGGTTCAGATCCCTGGGTGGGCCTGACAACAGGCAGTGGCCCAGGTGAAGAATGAGGAGCGAGCCAAGGCAGTACTAGTGGAGACAGAGAAAGCGGGGGATGGAGGAGATGTTGAAGCCACCCCGACATGCTTCAGGAAGACGTCCGGCTTGACACCTGGTACAGACCTAGTAGCTGGCTGGCTACAAATGAAGGTCAGTGCTGTGGCAGAAGGTGGCCTTCCCCAGAAATGGGTCCTTCAGTCTCACATAGGGACTTTCAGATCCATACCCCCCGAAACTGCGCATAAAGCAATGCGCGTGCTTGTGTATGTGTTTCTGGGGAGAGCCCACACATTTTTCCATGTAACAACCTCTGCTATCGTCGGATGAGGGAGAGGGGTCAAGAACAGAGCTGGGGGGTACCATCACCTCTGGTGGGAACCAAAGGAAAAGAGGCGGCTTAAGGCTAAGAGTAGGGCCTCGTTTGTATCTTCTCCTTAGAGAGCTGTCGAATTCGGGTTAGAGTCGGATAGATTTTCTCCTAGGTTTAAAACGATTAAAAAGCACAGATGAATTAAACCCCGAGTCTTATTCCTAGATCTTTCTAAGCTGTTTCTAACTCAAAATCTTAGCCTTCCAGGCTCTGGGACTTGCAGGCAAATTCCTGC